TCTAAAAGTTGTATAATTATTTATCCCCTTGACAGCTGATGGGAGGGCATTCCACAAAATGGGTGCTACTACCGAGAAGGCCCTCTGCCTGGTTCCCTGTAACCTCACTTCTCACAGTGAGGGAACCACCAGAAGGCCCTCAGAGCTGGACCTCAGTGTCCGGGCTGAACAATGGGGGTGGAGACGCACCTTCAGGTATATAGGGCCGAGGCCGTTTAGGGTTCTAAAAGTCAGCACCCACACAAAATGGCCTACCACGGCTTCAATCAGTTTTCCCCTGAAAAACCACAGCTGAGTCGCGCTAAGACTGTTATCCACTGTAACCACTATGTTTTTCCAAATCTTAATGCTGCATAGACAATCCTTGTTTTCTGTGTTACTGAAACCAGGTGGGGTTGCCATCTGTTTTCCTGACATAATTCCGGTTAACCACGGGGTGTCAGGAAGGGACCTAACAGGTGGCGATCTTCCCCATCACTAACTCTCCAAGCCCAGAAAGGTTTCACCTGCTGGATTAAATCCCACAGCAAGTACAGGCACAGGGGCCCTAGCCACCACCCAGATTTTTGGATGCCAGTGTTGAAGCCAGGCAGGAAGTCAAGAACATTTCCCTGTTGTTTGGCCTCCAGCACCTCCATATATGCAAAAATATACTATCTCTGCAGAGGGAGGTTCCATCTCATAGCCAAGGAAAGTTCAATCATGTATAGACACTCAGATACTTCCCGGATCCATGATTCTACAGCACGTATGGGGAACCTGTTTCAACCAGAGGGCCACATTCATTCCCAGGCAATGTTTCAAGGGCCACATGGCAGTGGTGGGCAAGGACAGAGGCGGAAATGGGTGGGGCAGCAAATGTAAAATTTACCTTTTTCACAGTCAGCTAGTTATTTCACCTAGACAGCATCTTAAAAAGCAGAGACATCACCTTGCCAACAAAGATCCGTATAGTTAAAGCTATGGTTTTCCCAGCAGTGATGTATGGAAGTGAGAGCTGGACCATAAAGAAGGCTGATCGCCGAAGAATGGATGCTTTTGAATTCTGGTGCTGGAGGAGACTCTTGAGAGTCCCATGGACTGCAAGAAGATCAAACCTCTCCATTCTGAAGGAAATCAGCCCTGAGTGCTCACTGGAAGGACAGATCATGAAGCTGAGGCTCCAAGACTTTGGCCACCTCAGGAGAAGAGAAGACTCCCTGGAAAAGACCCTGATGTTGGGAAAGATGGAGGGCACAAGGAGAAGGGGACAACAGAGGACGAGATGGTTGGACAGTGTTCTCAAAGCTACCAGCATGAGTTTGACCAAACTGCGGGAGGCAGTGGAAGACAGAAGTGCCTGGCGTGCTCTGGTCCAGGGGGTCACGAAGAGTCGGACACGACTAAACAATAAGTTATTTCACACATCTCTTTCACCTCCCGTCCAAACAAGCAAGAGGCATTATCCGACTTCAAGGACACAGCTTGGGAGATGAAGAAAATCCCAGGCAGAGTGTCGAGGGTCAGACACAAAGAACGCATTTGGCCCCTGTGCCTGAGATTCTCACCCTTGCTCTACAGGGTGATTCACTAGCACACATTATTATAATAATAATAATTATGATGATGATGAGAAATTCAATGTCACATTATGCTGCTGTTTCCATCTAGACAAAACAATCCCTCATCTCCTCCCAGTGTTAGAAACTCAGATATATAAGCTACGGGACAAAGGTGGCTCTGTGGTCTAAACCTCTGAGCCTCTTGGGCTTGCTGATCGGAAGGTCAGCGGTTCAAATCCCCACAACAGGGTGAGCTCCCATTGAAGAAGAAGAAGAAGAAGAAGAGTTTGGATTTGATATCCCGCTTTATCACTACCCGAAGGAATCTCAAAGCGGCTAACCTTCTCCTTTCCCTTCCTCCCCCACAACAAACACTCAGTGAGGTGAATGGGGCTGAGAAACTTCATAGAAGTGTGACTAGCCCAAGGTCACCCAGCAGCTGCATGTGGAGGAGCGGAGACACAAACCCAGTTCACCAGATTAAGAGTCCACAGCTCTTAACCACTACACCACACTGGCTCTATGTCCCAGCTCCTGCCAACCTAGCAGTTTGAAAGCCTGCCAGTGCAAGTAGATAAATAGGTTCCGCTGTGGCGAGAAGGTAAACAGCGTTTCCATGCGCTCTGGTTTCTGTCGCAGTGTGCCGTTGCGCCAGAAGCAGTTTAGTCATGCTGGCCACATGACCTGGAAAGCTGTCTGTGGACAAACGCCGGCTCCCTCGGCCTGAAAGCGAGATGAGCGCCGCAACCCCAGAGTCGCCTTTGACTGGACTCAGCCATCCAGACGTCCTTTACCTGTTTACCTTAAACCAACTTTACGGTTGCCAACATGGAATGCCTAGTTGCCATTTTGGGGGCAAGGCGGCTATAAAGTCTTATTTTTCAAGTGATGGACTGATTGATTCTCAGTTAAACATCTGGCTAGTTCAGAGGACAAGCCTGAGCCAGGTGAAGAACTTTGAGAACTTAAAAGAAGAAAAGTCACTTTTGCCCAGGAACTGTCCACATATATATTGGCCTATTCCTGCCTCTTTTCTTAATGGTGACACAGACCATTCGTAATAGTGAGTGGGGCGAAGACAAGCCACAGCAATTAACTATAACATTGTTCATTGCTCCTGCTCAGGCTGCATGGAAAAAGCGTTTCGGTTCCTGAAATTCATTCCTGATGGTGCAGATAAAATAGAACACATGGAATTCTACAGGATGGGGTATTCGTGTGGGGGGGGGAGCCAAGATCCAGGGCTCCCCAGGCATGCACCTCCAGAGCGTGGAGACTTCAGGTGTCATCCTGTCTCCCAGGTACCTTCACTTGAAGGTAAAGGTAGAGGGGCCCCTGACCATTAGGTCCAGTCGTGGCCGACTCTGGGGTTGCGGCACTCATCTCACTTTATTGGCTGAGGGAGCCGGCGTACAGCTTCCGGGTCATGTGGCCAGCATGACTAAGCCGCTTCTGGCGAACCAGAGCAGCACACGGAAACGCCGTTTACCTTTCCGCAGAGTGGTACCTATTTATCTACTTGCACTTTGACGTGCTTTCGAACTGCTAGGTTGGCAGGAGCAGGGACCGAGCAACGGGAGCTCACCCGGGCGCGGGGATTCGAACCCCCGACCTTCTGATCGGCAAGTCCTAGGCTCTGTGGTTTAACCCACAGCGCCACCCACGCCAGGTGCAAAATACGCCTAGCGAATTTGAACCACTGTCCTCTCTCCATATGTTGTTTTGGAGGATTCTACCCCCACAAGTCAATTTCAAGGGTGCATAGCAGAGGGGAAGCCCTGCTCACACAGAAGCCTACAGCCGAATCCCACCCATTATTCCTATTATCCATTATTCCTTCACCAGCGGATCCCAGGGCAGGTTGGAACAGTTTGAAACCCTGCATTAAGAACCAGCTAAAACAAATCACAGTCGCGGGAACAGGTCCTGAAAACACACACCTCATGTGTCACAAGGCCAGGGGAGGAAAAGGTGTGTCTTTAGCATCTTAGAAAGCTGAATTCAGAAGGTTAAACCACTCAGGCTATTTCGAGTGATAGCAGACGACCCAAGAATTCTGTCTGCCCTGCGATGGTCCGTTCACACATGCCAGCCAGCCTGACAGTGCTGCAATTGTGGAGCGAACAAGCGTTTGCGTGAGGAGCAAGCTCTACGATGCAGGCCAAACTATGCAAAGACTGAAGATTGGGAGTTTTGGATTACAGCTTTTCCACACCAAAAAAAACCCCACAACACCCCCCCCCCATTTGCAAACCAGATGTAGAACTTACACACACACACACACAACCAAAACCCAGAAATCCATATACAACTTTTTGGTTCTGGATCCTACCCATGGTTAAGATTACTTCCTTGAGAAGATCTGCACTGATGAAGGACTGTAGGCCTTCCTTGCAATCCAGGGATTCTCATAGCCAAATAACCCTTTCATCCCAAGCATCCAGATAGTGTCACTTCCAATAAAATGTATATTCCTGATCTTGTCCCTGCCCTTGAGCTGTGTGTGTGTGTGTGTGTGTGTGTGTGTGTATTAAAAGGCTCCAGCCCTCCCTCTTTTAAGCTGGCACCTTCTCGCAATTGCAAACGCAAGGTCTCCCACCTTTCCAGCGCAGAAACACACCTTCATTTCTGCAAAAGGAGAAAAGGGAGAAGTGTCGCATGGGGGAGGGGGCGGAACCCCCCCCCTCGAAACCAATGCAAACTTGAGCAGACTTGCTAGATAAAAGAGGGGGCTGGAAGAGGAAACTGTCACAAATCCCATAGCGACCCTCTTGCAATTCAATACCTCCAAGCAGATGGGTTTTTTTCTCTCTCTCTCTCTTCCTAAACCGACACCACCCCATCGGAAGCCACACTTTGCCTGAAAGCTCCTAGACAATGCATCTAAACACGAATGTCACTCCGAGTTCACACCAGAAAGGCAAAACAAGCCGGCGAGGCTTCCTCCGATGGCTATATACGACTGCAAGCAGCCCCGTCAACTTGTAACGATTGCAATTTGGGGGGTGAGCTAATCCATCGCCACAGCGTCGGCCCAGCTATGAAGGAATTTTAACTCTTCGCATGCAACAAGACAGCTATTGTACGTTCTTCCAGCATCTCTCTCTCTGCACATCTCGGCTGCACCCCACTTGCAAAAACATAAAAGGAGAGAGCCTATGGATACAGGGGAGATATTAGATATATAACTATGCATGCAAATAAAATAAAATAAAATAAAAAGAGCCCTACCCCCTTCTGATCCACCTTGGCTTGCACGCACGCACGCACATCTGCGCTTTGCAATGTGGACACACAGAAGTAAGAAAAATGCTAACGGGGGGGGGGCAGATGGGGAGAGAGACAGAATAATCGCAGCGATCGAGGGGCAAGTTTGCAAGGAGAGCAACTGTGTCGACCCCAAATAAATAATGAAATAAGGCAGAAAAAGAGAGAGAAATGAAGTGTCGGATCCTGTACCATTTTGATGCGAGGGTCTCCGGTCAATTGAGCCCCGGTGCTCCTCTGCTTGCTGGGGGGTTGTGATCTCCATGAAAATGTTGGAATGTGACAGATTAGATCTTTCTTTTTCTTTTCTTTTTAAAGGTTTTCTCCCCCTCTCCCTTTCTTTCCTCCTTCCCCCTTTTCCTCTGCAGTGGTTCCTTCTGCTGGGCTGCAGCGGGGGGGCCTCCTGCGCTCTCGTCTCCCCTCCGCCGCCGCGGCTGCCTCTGCTGGCTTGCTGCTGCCGCTCCTCCTCCCCTCCCGCCGCCCGCCCCTTTGGCGGCTGCTTCACTCCGGCCCCCCCATCGCCCTGTCAGCCCCGGAGGAAGAGGCAGGCGAGCCTGGCAGCGCGCTGCCAATGCCAGAAGCCGGGCCCAGCTGATTGGAGGCGCCGCCTCCCGTGCGCCTGCGCGCGGACCTTGCCTCCCTCCCTCTCTCTCGCTCCAATTTAAAGGGACTTTTGCAAGGCGCGCTCCCACCCAAGCAAATAGCCCGCCTGCAAAGGGGTGGCCGCCCCTTCCAGGGTCGGATTTATGTATAAGCTAAACAAGCTATAGCACATAGCTGTCAACGTTTTCCCCCTTTTTAAGGGAAATTCCCTTGTTCCGAATAGGATTCCTTGCAAGAAAAGGGGAAAAGTTGACAGCTATGCTATAGCTTAGTGCTGCACTCACTGGGGGGGGGGGGATTTAAAGGAAAAAACACACCTGGATGTGCATTTCCAAAACATAAGCTAAAAAACAAATAAAATAAAACCTACATACAGCAACAGTGTTTTGTGTTGTGTAGGCTCCTATGATTGTAAGAAATGGGCCCCAATCATTTTAAGTTAGAACTTAATAATTATTTCACTATTAATATACTCCTTCTTAATTGTTTATTATTATTATTATTATTATTATTATTAATAATAATACCCCACCCATCTGGCTGGGCTTCCCCAGCCACTCTGGGCAGCTTCCAACAAAATATTAAAATACAATAATGCATCAAACATTAAAAGCTTCCCTAAACAGGGCTGTATTTCACCAAGTGGTACTTGGGGTTACGTACGCTTCAGGTTACAGACGCTTCAGGTTACAGACTCCGCTAACTCAGATATATTACCTTGGGTTAAGAACTTTGCTTCAGGATGAGAACAGAAATCGCGCAGCGGCAGCAGTGGGAGGCCCCATTAGCTAAAGTGGTGCTTCAGGTTAAGAACAGTTTCAGGTTAAGAACAGACCTCCGGAACGAATTAAGTACTTAACGTGAGGTACCACTGTATGCTTCTTCTTAATGGTATTTCTGTTCAACGATTACTTTGATAAAATACATATTTTGTTATGTGCAAATGGCTTGAGATACCTATTGGGGCCATAAATTACCATATAGCATATATTCAACACACACAAAAACAGCGACAATTTGTTGTTGACAAAGGACAGCTGGGCATATAAAGGGCCCCATTACCTTCAGTAGCTTAGGGCCTCATCAAACCTAAATCCGGCCCTGGCTCGCTCCTTTTATTTCGTGCCTGGATGGGAAAGCTCAGCCCCTCTTAAGGCTGCAAGAGCATGCCTTGCACATTTAACCTAAGAGGAAGCCCAGGGGTGTGCAGGGCTTGCGACTGAGTCAGCATGGAAGTAGTCGGGTTGCACGTGAAAAGCCTGTTCAGGTCCACATTTATTTACAGTGGTACCTCTGGTTGCGAACAGGATCCGTTCCGGAGGCCCGTTCACAACAGGAGCAGAATGCAACCCATGTCTGCACGTCTGCAAGTCTGCAAGTGCACGTGTCGTGATTCACCACTTCCGTGCATGCGCATTATGTCATTTTGTGCGTCTGAGCATGCGCAAGCAGCAAAACCCAGAAGTAGCCCTTTCTGGTACTTCTGGGTCGCCGCGGGACGCAACCTGAAAATGCGCAACCTGAAGCAAACGTAACATGAGGTATGACTATTTTTTTTGCAGAGGCAGACACGGATGTCTGGCGCTTGCTCCCACTGAACTTGGCTTGCCGATGGAGGGCTGGTTGCTTTTTCCTGTTGTGTGGGAGACACACCCCCCCTTTTGTGTGGTAGGGTGGACTGGAGGACGTTTTGGCTGTCTTCTAACCAGGGCTGCACTGTGCCCCCAACCCCCATAATAGCCTGTTTGTTGAATGGGAGTTTCATATGGACTGCAGAAATTTATCTGGAGCTAGGGTGGCTGGTGTCCTTTGTGGGTGGGTGGGGGAACACAGGTAATCTGACTGGGGGCAGCACAGCCAGCACACACTAGGATACGATAATCTTTATTGTCATTGTCCCATACAGAACAACAAAACTGAAAAAATCTACATCAGACATTCCAAACCAACAAGCCGGCTATCCCAGCCTGTTTGGCCCCCTACAAACTCTGATACCCCATAATTAAATACAATATACTCCCATAGAGACTACCTTACACTGCGTTTAAAAGGGTTGCTATATTTCAAAAAGGAAAAACCAGGACACACTGAAAGTAGCTGAACATTTTATAGGGAAACACCCCCCCCCAACTGTTGAGCTTTCCCCCCCTGACAAACCCCAAAGTTATTGAGGAATTTTTGAGTTTTGGAGCTTTTAAAAAGGCATTTTGCTTGGCACTATTTAACCTCTGTTGCTGGTTTTCCAGGACATTTGCCCGATTTCTGAATCATAATGTATGTGGCTGGACTTTGGGGGGAGACAACAGTGTGTGTGTGTGTGTGTGTGTGTGTGTGTGTGTGTGTGTGAGAGAGAGAGAGAGAGAGAGAGAGAGAGAGAGAGAGAGTTTTCAACATATGATACAATGGAAACCCAGCTAGTCTAATGATAATAAACAATACTTAAAAATAAAAGCCAGGCAGGCCCAGGACAAGGTGGCTAGAAGAACGATGACTTTCTAGCCAGGGTCTGTCTTTGCATGCAATTGCCGGACTACAACTCCTGTCATCCCTGATGAGAGCCCAACATCTGTAGCTGTCAACCGTCCCTTATTTGGCGGGAAAGTCCCTTATCCCAGTGCTGTGTCCCGCTGCTGTCCCTTATTGATGATGTCCCTTAAATTTCCCGGGTTTCAAAGGAAGCAGCTCCTCTCCCTCCCTCCCTGCCGGCCAGGGAGGAGGGAGGCTTCAACTGTGTTGCTTGGCTGCGTTGCTTACCCAATAAGGAGTCTAAGAACGACTGGGGGGGTAGAGCTTGCATGCCTTGTGCCGATCAAATCGGCCGCGTTGCCTGGGGACTCACCTTTGCTCAGCGCTTCCCAGCGGAGAGGCGGCGGTGGTTTTCCTTGCTGCATCCCCTTTGCCGGGTTGCTGCGCTGTGGGAACCACCGCTTGAGGCTTCATTTGGCTGCTGGCCGAGCTTTCCACTTTTGGCTTGGAGGGGCTCAGAAGTTGAACATACCTGTGCTTGGAAAATCCCTTATTTTGGCTGCTGATCCCTTATTTTTGAGGCTGCTGGTCCCTTATTTTCAAATCTGTAAGTTGACAGCTATGCATCTGCTGGAGGGCTGGAGGTCCACTGCCTCTCCTGGAGAATCGCCTTTTGCAAAATCTGCTCATACAGCCATTTGCAGGATGAGTAACTGTGTGCATGAGGGTGACTCTGTTGTTTCAGAGGCTGCAGGTCTTAAACAACTGGGTCATGTCTGCCATCTTTATAGGTCAGGGTGCCTCGATTGCTAGATGACAGCTTCCTCCAAACTGGTGGGGGTTTTTTGGGGTGGGGGTAGCTGTATGATTTTGCAGTAGACCTTGTAAACCACTTTCCCCAGCCCCTTCCCACCAGATAGGTCTTAATTCACCCTCTGCACAGTCCCGTCAGAGGTCAGTACTGAGCACTTTGGAATCGCTGTCCATCCATAAACAGGACTGCTGGACATCTGGTCCTCATTTCCATTCAGCTTCAGCTGCCTTGTGCAGTAACCCGTTCCAGATGTTTGCTGCCCTCTGCAAAGGCATTTGACACAAGCCCGGTATTTATCCTGCCCCCCGTTCCCACCTCCCCACGCTTAAAATTCTCTCCTTGTTGTCTTTCCTCGGGGGCTGAAAAGCTCCACCAGCTTTTCAGATGCCTGTCTCAATTTTTTAAAAAAGAGTAAAGAAACAAACTATAGTTCTTCTAAATACTTGGCAGGGAAGCCAGCCAGCCTCATGACCTGCCGCTGTCAAAACTTCCGTGGGCATTGGAAACAAAAAATCAGAGAGTGCTTATGGCACAGTATGCAAATACGATATTGTTGTGGATCTGGAGATTCCCTTCTGATGACTAGGGATGGGCCAACCTGTCAAATTCACTTTCTCGTTTTCCTAATCCTAAATTCAGCTCCTCATTTTCCACATCGGTTTGCAATCATCATCATCACTCATTTTGTGCAAGTTTCTCCAGATAAGACATATTTTTTTGTATGCAGCTTTGACTGACGCAATCGTGTTTGCAAAGCAATTTCCCCAGTATGACACGTTTTTGGTGCACTAGTAAAAAATAACCCCCAAAATGTGTTCTATTGGGCAAATAGCTTTGCAAAAATGTCTAACACTGGGCAAAATTTAGTAAACATTTCTACACATGCTTCACTTTAGTATATATGCAATTTTTTTATACCAATTACTTGACTGGAGAACTGCATTGCAAAATTCAGGGAAGGCTGCGCTTTGAAAAATGGCTGTGTTTTGCTTCATGTGTTGTTCTGGGAAGTGCAAATTACCTAGATTCGTCTCTGAAAGTGAGCAAATTGGATTTCTTCCCCAACCCTACTGATCTGCTGGATCAGAATGGACCTCCCCACCTCCTGTCCAAACACAGAGAAGGCAGGCTTTTCTGATTTGAGGGGGGAAAGTATTTCAGAAACCATCCCTGAGCCAAGGAGACTTGCAACTTTTAGAACAGGCATAGGCAAACTCGGCCCTCCAGATGTTTTGGGACTACAACTCCCATCATCCCTAGCTAACAGGCCCGGTGGTCAGGGATGATGGGAATTATAGTCCTAAAACATCTGGAGGGCCGAGTTTGCCTATGCCTGCTTTAGAAGACATCTGAAGGCAGCTCTGTATAGGGAAGCTTGTGGATGTTTAATGTTTAATTACAGTTTTATATATGTTGGAAGTTGCTCAGAGTGGCTGGGGCATTAATAATAATAATAATAATAATGGAACAGGACATCCCTATTTTCATCAGAGAAATCTTGGAGGGTATTTAATTCCGCAATACCCTCTGCGTACCTTGATAGGTCTGCCCAGGGGTCTCCAGGTTCTGTCACATGCTGATGATGTAATCAGTGTGCGCTGCTTTTAGATGTCTCTGAGCAAGAGAGGCCATGGGCTGTTTCCTCTTCCCAATTCCTCCCGCAGAATCATCCAGAGGAACCAGTTTTGTCTG